CTTGGGGAAGAATGCTTAGCAAATCACCCACCCCCATGCTGATCCAAATGACCCCCCCCCCAATACACATGATTTAGAAGGTCATATTCATGGAACTTCTAGTGTCAAATGTTATTGAACCCCTTGAGTCAAGATATACACTTTCTTAATGGCTTTGACCAAGCCAGTAACTCAGTTACTAGTCTCAAAAAATGGGGGGGGGGGAAGTGAGCAACTTTGCACCTGGTTGTGAAGCACGATCAGATAAATAAATCCCTGTGGGTGTCAGGGAACCATGTCAATGGATGAAAGCACCAAATATATTTAGGACCACTTATATGTGCCTATAGGACCTCATTGAAGACCTTTCCTCTTTTTCCATGCAAGTCAGTGGGGATGCGAAAGGGTCCATAATTGAAGAAACCAATCAGAGGTTAATTGATGCCCCAATCTGTTGTTCACAGGTTCTGAGGGGGAGGGTTATATAGTTTCTGGTCTCTTGTGTGGTCCTGTCCCAACTTGCTCTGTCTGCAGCTATCCTCCACGTTTCCCAAATCTTACTGTTTCTGGGCTCTTCATACTGTTTTTTCCCCTTCCCACCAATGTTCCCTCTAAGCTGTGGATTCTTGTGAGCAAAAATTAAAGTTGTGAGTGAACAATTTGGCTGCTGTATAAATTAGTTTGCTCTGGAGCCATCCTTCCTGAGCTAAGACAAAAAATGTGTGAGCTGGAGGCGAAAAAAGCTGTGAGCTACCTCACACTAACTCACCTTAGGGGGAACACTGCATTCCCACACATCCCCCACATATCCTTCTCAGTCGTATCTGTAAACTGTCTCTTAGAACATATATTTGCAAGTTCCAGTTTTCTTTTGTATTCAAGTCTGTACTTTGCCCCCATTCACTCTGCTTCCATAAGGAGTCTTTGAGGATGCTTTATGTACTTGTTGGTGTTAAGTTTTTCTGGTCAGAAGAAGAAGAAGAAGAAGAAGAAGAAGAAGAAGAAGAAGAAGAGATTGGATTTATACCCCACCCTTCACTACCCAAAGGAGTCTCAGAGCGGCTTACAAACTCCTTTCCCTTCCCCTCCCCACAACGGACACCCTGTGAGGTAGGTGGGGCTGAGAGAGCTCTGACAGAAACTGCTCTTTTTCAAGAACAGCTGTGCCAGAATTATTGGCTTGCCCAAGGTCACACCAGCAGCTGGATGTGGAGGAGTGGGGAATCAAACCCGATTCTCCCAGATTAGAGTCTGCGCACTTAACCACTACACCAAACCGCTGGATGAACACTGAACCCTATGAGGGAAAAATGTCTGTATGCCAACCTAAAAACAACTTGCATCAAAATTGTGTGTTTTAAAAAGCGAAGCATACGTGGGCCAGTATGCAAATACCATCTGCTGTTAAAACTCTGTGGCCATTGGAAGTGTTTGTGTTAGGAATGTGATTCTTCCGTCACATCAGATTAGGCCTTCCAGCTGCCTGGCGGGGGGTGGGGAGGTTCTGCCCCTTTAATAGAGGCTTGATGAGAAATTATTTACCAGGCAATGCTTTGCTCCATGCGTGAAAAGTTTCACTTGCCCATTTCCATACATTAAGCCTCTATTAAAGGGACAAGACACTTTTCTCCAGGCCTCTGGGCAATCCTGCACATCATTTGAACTGTGTCTGGTATCCAATGTCTTGTTCTCTGTTTTGGATTGCCATGTTCCTTGAGACAATTGGAAAGGAGATTTAAAGTTGCCCTGGGCTACCGGAGTAGTTGAGCCAGATTACTGGGAGCCAAATCACTGTCTGGACCTATTTAAACATGACTGTGGCAATTCCCTTTTAATCACATGGACTGAATCTTGCTAAACGTTTACTTTCTGACTGCTGACATCAGCTGTGTCGGCAAATGTTGCAATGCAGACACACCTGTGTAAACATAAACACACACAGAAAACTCCAAAGACAACTTTGAAACTTTTAATTATTTCTTTGCCTGTGCTAAATGCTGCCTCCCCCCAATTTTAAAAATACTTTTGAATGCTTTAGCCTTATTTGTCCAGTTTGTGTATTAACGGGTTGAGTACAGCCACTGACTCTTGCAATAGTTCTGCAGCTGCTCCAGCCAGGTACCATGCTGGCAAAATGTGCTTCCACGTGCTGTCAGAATAGCAGGGCAAATAGTCGCACGCAGCTTGCAGTCATCTGGGAAAGTGCAATCGTGTCTTGGCCTCAGAATATTGTAATAATAAAAACTTACCCTGAAGCACCAAGAAAAAGAAATGCCTTGTGGTGCTTAGTACGTGAAAAAGGATACAGCACATGGACAAAAAAGAGACCCTCTTGGTTATTAAAAATAAGCAGACAGAAGAGGAAAGGGGACAGGTGTCACCCCTGGAGCTGAAGGAGCAGGTGACTTCAGGCTGCACAGCTGGAGAAAAAATCCTGTGCAACAGACTGCGTGAATGCCCCAGCCCTCTCAAGTGGTGCCACGAGGAACAGAGCAGCTTGACAAGGAGTGTTAATAGAAAAAGCAGAGTGCCTGGCCTTATCAAATGGCTGCTGCATTCCGTGTGGGGGAGAGGCTGGAATGGTACTGGCAAACAGACTGTATCTCGGTTCATAAAGACAGGGGACGGTAGATGGGGTGATCCTTGGCTGGAAGAGACCTTTTCATGAATAACTAGTCATAAATAACTAGACTTCAAAGGCAGCTTTTCTTCTCTGTATATTTCTGCTACTTAAACTTTTTTCCGTGCTTGACATTAAAATGAATGTAAGTTTCTTGCCAGATTTCCTCCTCCCACCCACCCACTTTCCCCAATATTTGGCTTGAAGGCCAATAGAAATGGGAAAGCTTTTACGGTCAATGGAAATGATTTCATTTTCTGTCATTCACAGACCCAAATTTACTCCCCATTCATACCAAGCTATTCATATTCTGTGACTTTAGGTAATTTGTATTAAAATGCTGAATTCTGAGTTGGGGACTTAACTGAGCTACATACATTCTTTCCTAGAATCACATTCAATGCATTGCTTCTTATAATGAGTATGATTTTTGAAAATCCGAACTCTAAAACAAGTCCCACACAAAGCACATGAATATCTATAAAAGTGTATACAGCCTAGTTTTCAAGTCAGTGTCCCTGGAGACAACTGAAATGTTTGAATAAGGGGAGGGTTGTTGAAATAAGGGGTGCTCCAGTAACCTGACAAGTTTGATTTCTAATTTGGATTTTGTTCTGGTAGTGCAGGCAATTATTGTGAATGTTCCGACTGTCCTATTCAATCTGATCTAATTTTCATTGTGAGAAAAAATACATCGGAATGCTCATTCATATACAGATATCTGCAGAGCTCTCAATGGGGTGTATATAGATAGAATAGCTTATTTGCATTCTTCATTGCAACTAGTGCCATTA